GATGGGGATGTTTTACTCCTCCTCTTGGCTCATATACAGTACTGCCAAAGCATCTGCCTGCTAGATACGGCAATGCTTGACTCTCTTGCCCGCTGGGTATCCTCAGCCTAGTCATGCAAGATTAAATCTAAAATGGAGAAGAATTCAGGTCACATAACGTTATTACAATGCCAAGGTTGCTTCCAGCCATCATTGAAATCAGAAGTGAGATGGGTTGTGTTTTGCCTTGAGACTTTTAATCTCTCGTCTGGAGGTGATGATGCTTTCACTTGGCATGTTTGGGATGAACAAGTGCCTTTGGACCTCTGATTTCTGAAGCTGTCCAGCACTGGGTGTTTCCTCACCTCTGTTGCAGATCAATTGATTGAGATTGATTGTTAAGTTATTGTTAAATAATACTGCTACTGAAATGTGACGTCGACACAGTAGATGTGAAATTTATTCAGAACCCCTATGGCAACCAAATCAAGAGCATCAGGTTAGAAGTTGGAGACTCCAATATATTTCAAGTGAAGACAGGAGTAAGACAAAACTGAATTTCGTCACCAGAATCATTCAATCTGGATACAACAAATATTCAGTGAATTAGGTATCCTTCTAGCATGCAAGAATGTAACAAACTTGGGCAATGACAATATGGTATTACAAGAGAGGCCCTGCAAAATAACATAGATCAAATAACATCTAGAAGTTTAAATTATGGATCAGATATGAATACAAAAAGACAGAAATGGGGTAGTTGGAAGGACTACATTAGAAAAAACTAGACTGATTATGGAAGTGGGCGGTGTCCAGAGGAACATATTATTAAATTTGTCTATTTAGGACAAATGATAACAGAAGATTCAACAGAAGATGCAGATGTAATGGAAAAAATTAGAAGGATAGGGATAGCCAGAAGTAACTTTGTGAAGATCAAAGATATAATTTTGATGAGAAAACTAGACCTTGTAACAAGGAATGAACTGTTATTTTCCAATCATTTTCTGTTGCCTCATAAACCTGGACAAATAAAAATCTGTGTAATGAAGTAAATGCTTTTGAAATGTGGGTGTGCTAAGAAGCTGTTTAAGGATCCATTTCTAGACCATAAGACAAATTTCAGAGATACTTGAAATTGCAAGAGCAAAAAGAATACTAAGTGACATCCAGAAAAGAAACCAGTAGCAGTTTTAACAGAGGTAAAAAGCTGCAGAGATTTCTTCTAGAGAATAAGCCAAAGGATAGCAGAGAGAGAGGTCAACCTGGGGGTGGTTGAATGGCCAATGTCACAGTGCAGTTACTGACGAACAACTGTGGATATGAAGGAATAACACAAGACTGACAAATGTGCTGTACCATGACAGCAGATCTCCATGTTAGGAATAGCCACAAAAAGAGAGAGTAGAGTAATATCATTGTTTTGAGGAGCTATCTGAAAGGGAAGAAGTTTGATCAGAAAGGTTAGGGACTTTAAGAAGCATCACAAAGGAGGTGGTAGAGATAGGGAGAGAGGTTTAGGTAAGGGATTCCAGAGCTTGGGACCTAAGGAGATGAACTCATGCCTGACAGTGGCAGGCTAAGGCAGCAGAGGAACCATAAAAGGTTAGAATTAAAGGAGCAAAGAGTTTTCAGATTGTTGAAGGACCAAGGGAGATTATAGAGCTAGAGGCAGCCAGACCCTTACAATCGTACAAATAAGGATTGGCCATTCAGCCCTTCAGGTCTTCTCCACAATTCATTAAGATCATAACTGATCTGAATTTAACTGAGTTAATCCGAATTCAACTCTATTTTCCTACACCTCCCTGATAATCTTTCATTTCCTTAAGAATCAACAATCCATCTATCTCTGCCTTTAAATTATTTAAAGATTCCACAGCAACTGCCTTTTGGAGAAGCGAATTCCTAAGATTCACAACAGTCAGAAAAAAATGTTCACTCATCTCTTTCCTAAATGGACAACCCATTATTTTTAGTCTCTGACTACTATGAAACTATTACAGCAATTTAACGGGAGGAGAATTTTAAATTCAAGAGGTTGAGGGACTGGGAGTCAATATAGGTTAGCAATGGAGTTTGGTTAACTCAGTTGATGGCCAGCTGGCTTGCAATACAAAGTGATGTGAACAGCTTGGGTTCAATTCTTGCATTGGCTGAGGTTACTATGAAGGATTCTCCTTCTCAACCTCTCCCCTCACTTGTGGGGTAGTGACCCTCCGGTCACCCTGTGGTGTAGTGACCACCTATGGCCTGGTAAGACTATGGCGACTTTACCTTTATCTTTGGAGATCAGTAAGTATAAAAGTGATAGATGCACAGTATTTCCCTGGTATCAAAGCTGGGCTCTTCCATATTCACATGTCTGGGTGCAACAATTCCATATTATACCACGTGGTGTCAGAATTTCAGCAGGTATTTCAATTTTTTTTTGAGGGAGAAGCAGAGTTTCTGGTCAGTGATCCATTTCTGATGAAAAGTCATTGTCTCAAAACATTAACTCTGTTTCTCTCTCCTCCGAGTCTATCAGACCTGCTCACCATTTCCAGCAATTGTCTGTTCAGATTTCCAGTGTCCACAGTATTTAGTTTTTATTTTCAGTTTCTGTGTTTGGTTTTTGAGCCTTGAACCACAAAAATCTTTGAATTGAACCTTTAGCAGGAAACCAGCGAGTCTCTAGATTTTTTTTCACTTGTGCCTCTCTATAATAAGACAACCGTCTTAGCCAAATCTCCGAATTCCCTTGCAGACATGGATAAGAGTGGGACTCTGTCCAGATTCTGTTGCCCACGAAATGTTTAGCCTTTAACTTATTTCTTGTAAACTATGCAGCTCTCAAAAAATAGAAGGAGAGACACTTTAGTTGTGGTGAGGATTGAGGGCACCAGAGCAAAATACTGCTGAGTCCAGATAAAGCTGTAGCTCACCAGGAATGTTCTGGTTGAATGAGGAATTCAGTAAACTAAAGGTGGTTGGCAAAGCTTTCTACTACCATCATTTCCTAAATAACAGTAGATATTCACATCTAAACTAAACCAAAAAATAAATGCCTTGATAAATGCAGGGGTCTCTGAATGGGCTGAATAGGCTCCAACATCTTTAATTATTCTCGTGAAAATAAGTGTCTTTCGAGGTAGTTAGTGATATTTGGTCACTCATTGGATTAAGATTGGAAAACATTTTGGATCACCTTCGATGTTTAAATATTGCACTGAGAGCAAATGAGAAAGAGTTTAATTTTTTGCAATTGAATTTTAACGGTAACGAATGTGAGAGCATTTGATTCATTGAGACAATGTGCAATAGAAATGGACAGGAGGCACAACAAAAATGCCAAGAGGTTCAATAGAGATTCCACAGAATGATGGTGAACCCAAGGTAAAAAATGGTGTTGAGCCGTAGGTCAGCCATGATCAAAGTGAATACGAGAAAAAACCTAAGATTCTGAATGGCCTGTTTAGGTGCTTTTATAACCTGGGATTGAAGGAGAAGGAAAGTGTGACACAATAGAAATGACTGCTCTTCTTAAAAATTCCTTGGTAGCAGTGATGCCAAGAATGTGACAAAATGAACATAGGCCCAGGATAAAGCGAAGATGTGAATTGGCAGCTGGATGTTGTTAGATAATGGAGATAATTTATTGAAGGAAAAAAAGGTATGAGAGGACGCAGCTCTAGGAAACCCACTGTTGATGGGAATTAAGCAGAGAATAGACCATCAAAAAGAGTAGAGGCAGAATTATTTGAGAGGAAAGGGCCCACATTATGGGTAGGACATCGTAAAAACCTCCTCATCCAATTCCTATATTTCAGATTTTACTAAGATTGTTCAATAGGAAATGTGACAACCAGACCACACAAAAAGTAAGTTGTAACCATTTAATCTGTTTTGATGGTCAGGGTTTGAGGAAGAACTGCTGGCCAGCAATACAGGGAATTCAGTGTTCTTCCTGGTTTAGTGCTGAGGAGTATTTTTAAGTTCAATGCAGTGTATCAGTCGGGGTTGTGTACACAAGGTCTGCACTGAGTCTTCAGCCTATAAACTTCTGGTCACTATTGGAGCTGCCAACGTTGCTGGGTTTACCTGCAGTCTTTCGGTTACTCCTGAGAGTTGCTGGGGCAAAAGTCACAGGGTCATGTTCTTTCGTCTTACTGTGCTGATTTAAAGCAAACAGGGCCACAATACACAATAATTTTATTTTAAAAATTCTTTAATGAGATGTGAGTGTCATTGGCAAGGATAATGTTTATTGCTCATCCTTAGCTGAGTAACTTGCTAGGCCACTTCAGAGCATAGTTAAAAGTTAACCACATTATTCTGGATTTGGAATTGGCCAAACTAGTTAAGGATGGCAACCTTCCTTCGCTAACGGACAATAATGAAACAGTTGTGTTGAACTAATCAGGAACAAAAACAAAGTTGCTGGAAAAGCTCAGCAGGTCTGGCAGCAGTTGTGAAGGAAAAAACAGTTAACGTTTTGGGTCCAGTGACCCTTCCTCTGATGATATCTGTTATGCTCACCATGACTAGCTTTCAATTCTAGATTTCATTATTTAAACTTAAATTCCATCAGATGCTGAAATAGGGTTTGATCTAATTTCCTCCAGAGCATTAGTTTGGGCTGCTGGACAGCTAGTCTAGTAATGTTACCATGATACCACTCTCTCCACCAGGCACAGTATGAACCAGACACCTTGCTGCATTCAGACCAAGGATAGAGCCATTTTCAGATTGCAGAGGATTGTGGGTATTGAAGCAGCCATCATTGACCAAATGATTATCGGTCAGCCAATGGTGGGATGATAAGGTCAGGGCAAATGGAGGCAAGTAATCATGTGATGAAGTATCGACAATAGAGTCCAATGGCCGTGGACATGCAATGGAGACAGAAGGGCCAATTTCCCACCGAATTACTGAGATATTCAAGATAAATGAGTTGATTAAATAATCAGCCCCTGTTCTGGATTCGTGCCTGGGCAGGAAAATAACCCTGAGTCTCTTCCACTTTGCTTTTGTGACAGATTGTAAATTCCGTTGTCACTACCGCTGCCGACCCCTGATTCAGTTGGACTGTAACCGGCCAAAGACCAAGAGATCAGATGTCACGGAAAACACACTGGAACAAGACACAAATGTGGTAAGAATTGTGAATCTGTCTGGTAACTCAAAGTTTGGAGTATGAAGATGAGTGGAGGTGTGGATGGAAAGAGAAAGGTGAATGTACAGCCTAATAGAAAAACTAGCACTAGGCAAATTACGCAAGACACAAAGACAATAGAGTAATGATTTAATGTTAAGTGTTCATTGGTGTCCAGGCCATAGTTTACTAATATCTCAACTGTGCAATGAGTCATGTCATTCAGCCCATCATATTCACATTGCTTAATAGCTGGGACAAGCCTCAGCTGTATCATTGCCGGTTTCAGCTGCAACTGTTTCTCAGAGGCCCTGATTTCAGACAGTGAGCCTGTCCCTGCTCCATTCAACACTCTGAGGACTGGACATTTTACTAGGATTCAAATTCCACTACAATCAATAAGGCATGAATTGTACATGAGTCTTAACCCCTTACCCTATTGAATAAAGATGAACTGTGCACACTAACAAGGGTAACCCATATCCTGCACAGCAAGCGTATAGTCACAGGATCTGAATGAGGTCATCACAGCGTGACCTTTAAACCTGAATGAGGTCCTTGCCTGCCTGGTGAGAGAATCTCACAGTGAGGCTCTGATGCTCGCTAAAATGACACTGGATGTGGGAGCAACACAATTCCAAAGCTGAGGATATTTTAACCTCCTGGCTTGTTTGCATCTTGTGTGGCAGTTGTTAACATTGGGGATTGTCTTTTGGCTATATTTGATGATCCCATGCAGAGAGGCAAAGGGAATGAAGATGGTGGATGAGATGTTAACCTAGCAGGCTGCTTTGTCCTGGTTGATGACAAGCTCCTTAAATGTTGGAGCTGTATCCATCAGGAGTGGAGCGGCATGGTGGTTAGCACTATTGCCTTACAGCACCAGGGACCAGGGTTCAATTCAAGCCTTGGGCGACTGTCTGTGTGGAGTTTGCACATTCCCCCTGTGTCTGCATGGGTTTACTCCGGGTGCTCCGGTTTCCTCCCACCATCTAAAGATGTGCAGATTAGGTGGATTGGCCATACTAAATTGCCCAGAGTGTCCAGGGATGTACAAGTTAGATGGATTAGCCAAGGGAAATCCAGGGTTACAGGGATAGGGTAGGAGGGTGATTCTAGCTGGGATGCTGTTCGGAGAGTTGGTGTGGACTTGTAGGGCTGAATGGCCTGTTACCACACTGGGGATTCTATGAGGAGGAATAGCGTGACATAATGGTAATGTTATAAGCCTAGTAATCCAGAAACCCAGGCTAATTCGCTGGTGATATAGTTTCAGATCCCACCATAGTAGTTAATAATGCTGGAATTGCAAACATAGTAACAATGAAGCGATCTGCTGTCCTTACTTGGCGCAGCCAATGTATGACTCCAGACCCACAGTAATGTGGCTGTCTCTTAACTGCTATTGAGGGCTTGTGAGAGGAAAGGCAGGAGTTCTGGTGATCTGTTTTTTTCATTCCACACACAGGTTTTTTTTCATTGAGCACCTGAAACTGAAGCTTCTGTCTGACTGCTTTAAGCCAGTAAAAAGAAAGGAAACAAAGAACCAAAATTATTTTTGAGCATGCATGGATGGGTTTTTGACTTCCTGCCACATAGTTTCCAGGGCTACAATCTGACAGATGAGTGGGTTTTGTTATTGTTTTGCAAACCCATTCTAAGCAAGAGATTTGGCTACTTAAGGCAGAGACTGCACCCAAGTTGAACTGATGTAAACTGGGCGTGCCCACTACTTCAAACTCAGGCATACTCTTTGAGCTCCATCAGGTTTCAATCCTCAATAGAACCAGCTGCAGACCCTGATTTCTTGCTTCCCCCAGGAGATTTTTTTCAGATGGTGTGCCGAGTGTTCATTTTGCATGATACAGTAGATCTCTTCCAGTCTATATTGTTCCTGTGTTTGTGGTGAGTGGCCAGTCACTATTATTCCCAATGACGGGGAGATCGGTTAGCTCAGATGGCTGGTTTGTTCTGCAGAGTGATGCCAACAGCTTGGGTTCAATTTCCACACTAGCTGAGGTTACCACTCTCCTTCTCAACCTCTCGCCTTATCTGAGGCGTGGTGACCCTCAGGTTAAGCCACTGCCAGTTGTTTCTCTCTAATGAGAAAACAACTCTCTGATCTGGTTAGACTTTAAAAATTTTTTTATATATCCCTAAGTGCCACTGACCCAACAGCCTCATTGGATGGAAATGCTGCCCTGGGAAGATGCATTTGTTAAGTGAATGTTTCATTCAGGACTGGTGAACTCCCCCCCCCCCCCCCAATTGGGAATCAATTTGTTATCCAGCCCTTTTAACACCGAACTGAAGAATCAATACTCAGCACTATCTCTTCCTTTTTCTATATCGTAAACATACAAAGTTGCATACAAGTCTATTTTGACAAGGTTTTGTCACTCCAATAACTGAACTCAACATTAACAATCATAGCACCATGCCTTTATAAAGCACCTATAATGATTCAAAACAAATACAAACCAGCACGATTGTGGCAAATTTGATTCTGAGCTACGTGACGACATATTAAAGAAGAGGAAATATTGCATTTACATAGCACTTTTCTTAACAATTGGACATCTCAAAGTGTTTTCCAGGAAATAAAGATCGTTCAAAGTGTACTTGCTATTGGAATGTAGGACATATGACAGTCTCTTATTTCCGGACAATAATGCTCCATCTTGGTAACTCTATGACAAAGTATCACAGCCTTTTGTATAAAAAAACTCAAACCCACTTGGTGTCTGAGACATTGAGTCCTTCCTTGAAGTTGGGATTTCCATCCAGTGCCCCTAATGGGAAGAGAGCTTACTGGGAAAGCAATGCACAATGGGATTGGCTCACTGGTATTTGGATGTCTGCAGTGGGGTGCTCTCTCAGCTACATGGAATGCAGTGAGGCTTATGGTCACTATGCCCATGATTTTACATCAAGGAAGCTCATGGCTTGCTGATCTTGCCAAATCCACCCCCACGACGTAACCAGGTGGGTCCAGTCCAAGCAAAAGAAGCGTCTCTGGATGAACCCAATTCAGTATTTACTGTATAAAAAGCTCGAGACTGAAACTGCTAAATGATGATTTCTTTTCTACTGTGGCTTCATGCAACAGGAACTAGTTTGAAACTGCCCAACTATTTTATGCTGAACTCTAATGGTGTGAGACAAAGGATAATTTCATCCCATCCCATCAAATCTAGTACATGAGCTTTAAGATTAGAAAAGGGTTTGGTAGGGAAGACATTTCCATTTGTTGGCAAGGCCAGATCTAGGGAGCACAAATAAAGACCGCCATTAATAAATCACAATCTGGGAATTTCAGAGAAACTTCTTCACCCAGAAGGGCCTTCAGAATGTGGAACAGACGGATCAATTGAGATAAATAGCATAGGTCTATTTAAAAGGAAATTAAATAAGGGAGAAGGGAAGAGAAGGATATGCCATTAGAGTGAAAGTAAGTAGTTGGGAAGCTCATGTGGAGCAAAAACACTGACATGGACTTGTTGGAATGAGTAGTTTGTTTCTGTGCTGTAAATACTTTGTGACTTTGTAATTGGAACTAGATTCAGATGAAGGATGTAAAGGTCTGTTAATCCAGAACATTATCAGTCCTCTAGTTTTAAATGTGCCTTTTAATATTAGTTTCTTTCAAGTAACACATGGCTAGTGGTCGCTAGTGATGCCATATAACTTGTCCCATGGCTAGCTCCTCAGCCCAGTCTGCATAATGATTATTGCAACCATCATGTTGGGTGTCCAGTTCAGTCTTCAGGCAATTAATTAACAGCAACTTTGCATTCATATAGATTCTTTAATATACAAAAAGTTCTGAGGCACTTCATTATTACACTGGATTCATGTGAGCTGGCATGTCGAGGATCCACCCCATGTTGGCTCAGTCACCACTCAGGTGGACTACTCGTGATCGGATTCTGTGACATTCACTTGCCAACGTGAATTGTTTTTGAAGAGTTTGAGTCTGTGGTGCACAGTCAAAGGAACACAACAAGGGCACTCAAAAGTGTCAGATGGGAAAAAAGAAACAGGGCCAGGAAATCCTGAGCCAATAACTCATCCCAAACTCAGTCATCGGCTGTGTCCTCTCCTTGTGGGCTCTGATCGGTCTCAGCAGACTCCGACATACCTGGTGAAACCCCATCAAACACCCCTGAAGATGAACAGGGCCATCTTTACTTCAAAGGACCAACAAAACAAAACAATACAGAGCCACCTGAAGAGCGATTACGACAGGTGACCATAAAACCCTGGTTACAGGCAGATTTTAAGGATCACCATAAAGGGAAAGAGATTGAAACCATTGAAATTAGTCTTGTTCAAAATGCCAGAATTGAAGGATCACTGAAATGTCAGAGTTTGCAGATGACACATAAATTGGTTGGAAGGCAACTGCTGAGGATGATACAAAAAGGCTGCAGAGGGGTACAGACAAGTTAAGTGAGTGGGTAAAACTTAACAGATCAAATATAATGTGAGAAAATATGAGGTCTTTCTCTTTGGCAAGAGGAATACAAGAGATGAATATTATTTAAATGGAGAAAGACTGCAGAAAGCTATGGAGTAGAGGGATTAGGGTGTCCTCATCCATGAATCACAAAAAGCCAGCATCCAAGTTCAGTAGCTAATAGGGAAGGCAAATGGAATTGTTGGCCTTTATTTCAAAGGGAATGAAGTATAAAAGTAGGGAGATTTTGTGAAAACTATACGTAGCACTAGTCAAAACACAGCTGGAATATTGTGGAAAAAGTTTGGACCCCTTATCTAAGAAGAGGTATACTGGCATTGGAGGCAGTCCAGAGAATGTTCACTAGGCTGTTCCAGGTATGGAGGGACTGTCTAATGAGGACAGATTGAGTAGGTTAGGCCTGTACTTGTTGTAAATTAAATGAACGTAAGGCAACCTTATTGAAATATACAAGATTTTTAGGGGACTTAACAGGGTAGATGAGAAATGTTGTTTCCCTTTGAGGGAGAGGTCTAAGACC